CTTGGGTGCTTAATTTTGGAAATGTGGAAAAAGACAAAATCTAAATAACTTTGGTAATCTATATAAATAAAAATGTAAATGTTCGTTTGTTCAAAATCTTAAATCTCCGAAAGTTCTTCACCGATTGCTTTGAAATTTTGACACAACGTTGCATTCAAATACGCACGTGTTTTTATATACCTATATTATATAGATGTCACACCTGTGACAGGTAAAAACATGCTTTTTTGAAAAACAGCGCCATCTCTTGGACGTAAAAGCAACACACGCTACGATTTTACCATTCCATTTCAATGTTTCCGATTTACGATCCATTTACGATTTCCAAATTTCCAATTTTACGATTCCATTTCAATGTTTTCGATTGCATTGTTAAATTGAATTTTCATAGATTTCGATTTATTTTCATTTTGATTTAATTATTTCGTGTGACATTGTGTTGGAATTGATGCACAGACAATGGAACAACAAAAAATATTGTATACCCACAAGCATTGTGAAATTAAACATATTAGAAACGTGCGCTTTCTCTTTTCTTTCTTTTCCATTTAACCAGACTGAGCCACAGCAACGCGTGGCCAGGTACAGCTAGTTATAAATAAAATCCATTCAGAGTATAAAATGAGAGACTAAAGCAGGACATCTTCTGCATAGTCATCTCTGCGTAGAGACCTTTTAGCTCATGCAAATTGCATTACAGATAAAGCTGGAAATAAGAGGAATGTACCATCTTAAATACTTTATTCGGTTTAACATCTGTTTGAATTGAGAAGGCATGTGAGATATCCCCATTCTGAATAACCCTCAGGAAGAAAACCTTCATATCTGACGCTCATTCTCTGCTCAGTTGAATCTCAGGCAAGGAGGCCAAGGAAAAAGGAAAAGGTTCACCTTTCAAAGTAGTGTGAACAAAATAAATTAGTACAAGTACTTAACTAATACATTAAAGAAACTTAAATGTTGGCCTACAGGGTTCTTCTGAAATTGTTTTTATCTGGAATGATATGAATGAGCCTTCAGTCTTCAGAGGAATAGAACAAAGCATGTCAAAAGACGCCATTCATTATGGCAAATGGGAACATCGAGATGTTCATAATCTCTATGGCTTCTACCAGGTAGGACAATTACAGCTGAATTAACAATTAGAACACTGGTAGTTCTTATTATTGCATTACCTGTGGTTGCTGTTCTTGCACTTTGTCTATAGTTGTCTTAATCAAAGTGGTTTATAAATTTATTAATAAAAAAGCAGTGCCATTATAACCACGATAATAGTTTGTTTTAAAATCTTTTTAAAGGCTTGGACTCCGACTGGCTGGCCCAGGGGGAGGAGACGGAAGCAGGTCTTGAGACGGTTGTATGGGAGGAGTTTGATTCTGTTGCTCCCGAGGACGTGGACAGGGTCTTGGGAGGGCTGAACGCAACCACATGTTTGTTGGATCCGTGCCCCTCCTGGCTGGTACTGGCAGCCCGGGAGGGTACACGAGCCTGGC